ATATACACACACACACATATATATACACACATATATATACACACACATATATATATATATACACATTTTTTTTTTTTTATTTCGATGTGGCAACTTCCAGTGGTGTTATCCCCCATTTTCATCTGGACTGCCTCATTTTCAAACAAAACAAAAAAAAAGGCGTGACACTGGAGCATTGGATTCATTTATTCTAGCGTCTGCTCTGCCTTTTTCTACGGAATCTGACACAGCTACCCTTATACCTGTTTTAGGGATGGGCATGTCTGTTTTTCAGGCACCAGTACATAAATTTGTGCTCCACTCGGACCTATTTGAGGGAGAAGTCAGAATGGGGGTACGCCCCGCTCTACCTGTCGAGGGGGTTACGCTGGTTCTGGGTAACGATGTAGCTGGGGCACGTGTCTGGGCTGAAGATCCAGCTCAACCGGTACTTCTCCCGGTACCGCTGGGTCGTAAGGGCCCGGATGAATATGAGGAGCGGTATCCTGATGTAGTCCAGGTTTGCGCCATGAGTGCGGCCAATCAAAAGGTAGAAGCAGAGGTGGAATTGGAGAATGCGAAAATAAATGACCCCACAGAAGTGTATGTATTACCACTGTCTAAGACTCCATTGTCTGTCTCACATAGTGAATTGGTGAGCGAGCAAAAAGCTGATTCCACACTGGGTGGGCTGTTCCAGTCTGTTCTTCCAGCAGATGAGGTGAAAGATCGTGCGCACGGGTACTTCATTCAGAACGAGGTATTAGTCAGAAAGTCGGTGCCACGTAGCGAGAGTTTCATTGGAGATCCTGTTTACCAAATTGTTGTGCCCTTAAAATTCCGTGATTTGGTCCTGCATGTCTCACATGATGAGTCAGGGCACATGGGCGTAGGAAAGACGTATGATCGCATTGTTAGGCATTTTTTTTGGCACCAGATTAAGAGAGACGTAGCGACCTACATCAAGACCTGCCATACCCGTCAGTTAACACTTAAGCTGGCTGCGTTGCAAGAAGATTGGAGAGAACCAACAAACAATCTGGTTCATTATGTCAAATGGGTTCCGGATTAGACTTGACTCAGCTGGGGAATTGGCAAGGTCGAAGTTGGCTAAGGCGCAAGATAGAATGAAACGTTTGTATGACCGTCGAACAGCACGACGTGTTTTCAGTTCAGGCATACTCACAGATACGTCACATTAAATGGAAGGACAATCGTTTTGTTGATGCGTTATCCAGGGGCCCATGTCAGTAATTATGTTGCACTTTTTTTTCAACTTTGTTGTCTCTGTCTCTCTCTTAAAAATTGCTTTAAGGTACCAGTAGCTGAGATGGGATATGAGGCATTTAACTGAAGGAATGGTGAGCAACTGTTGAGGTGACTGAGTTCGAGGATAATGTATAATATATATATGCTTTAAAATAAGCAGGTTTTTTGAGATGTAGAGATGTGGGCATGGTTGATGTCCAGGTTCCTGTGGGGACCCTGTCTTTATGGGGAGGGGGGGTGTGACGGCCCAGGGCCTCTGCCAGGGAGTGTCTATCTTTCAGTGTCCCTGGATCGTTGGAGAGGGACATCAGGAAGATTGGAGGCAGCTGGCCACGGCCACGGCCTTCGCCCTACAAGACCCGCCCCATCCGGAGGAAGTGCTGGCCTTCTTCCCCTCTCACACCTGGTGTGCGGCAAGGAGCATCTGGCAGCAGTGGAACCTTCTGGCACTCACGACGAGAATGCTCATCCTTTGTTGCACACTTGAAATGTCCCGGCCTTTGTTCATTAAAAGTATTTGTTTGTTTAGCTCAGTGCCTGAGTTTTCGTGACGTTTTGCTATGGTTCTAGAGCCGGACCATAACATCGCAGACACTCAGTTATTTCAAATGCGACTGTGTCTTCAACAGAATGTACTGCGCACCGACTCTATTTTAATGCACTATTTTGCCTTTTCTGTTAAGGTAGGAAGAAATGGAGATCCTGTTTTGACAGCTTGTTTTTGGTTGGGTATAGTGTTACACATTTTCTTAGTCGTTAGGGTGAGAGTCTGACCCTGACGCTTCTGTATGGCTGGATCCCTTTCTCATATTCTGGTGTGACTTTGTTAACTAGTCATTTCGTTTTGTCAAACCGGGGTTGGGAAGTCAGATAGAGATTCTATGGTTATTTTGGAAGCTAGTTATAGTGGTGTCGTGTTAAGTTTTTTTTTTTTCTTCAACTATTGACATCTGGTTGGTGGCGCTCTATGTTCCCCTCTAGCGTCAGTTTCGGACGTGTCGGGGAGAGCGTGTCAGTTTCCACTCGTTGCATGCAATGTGTGTTTTCAAAATAAACTTCCGTGTTTACAAGACACAGTTTCTGGTCGTTACATGCATTGTGTCTTTTCAAAATAGACTTCTATGTTTACAGGACACATACAGTTTCCGTACGTTCTATTTTCAAAATAAACTCCCGACATAGGTTTAATAAGTCTCATGGGTGATAGTCTTGTCTGACCCATCCAAAACGTCAACCCACCCTACACGTATACTTTCTTGCTCTATACTACGTCGGTTGCTCTGATCATCGAATAAAGACGCGGCTAGAAGTGAGAACGGGTTGGATTTGATGAAGACCGACCTGACATTTTAGAAAAACAAAAACAATAAATCAACAAGTTTCTAGCAGACTGTTTCTACAGTCCTTAGCATTCCCTACACTTTACTACTGAAAAAGTATTACCTCTAGTAGAACAGCTTCATTTGAGAAACCACAATGATTATCACGTCTTACTTTTCATTTAGCTTATTTACAATATCATTTACACTACTTTTTAACTCCTCATTTAATCTCTTATGTTTCACATGATAACACTCAGTATAGAGTACATTCTCAAAGGGACAGTTCATCCCAAAATCAAAAATACATATTTTAATATTACGCCCAATACCTCCACAACTCAGCAACTCACACGGAAACAATCTAGATTGACAAACAGCACTACAGGTAAGACAACAAATACGTATTTTTGAATTTGTGCTGAACCAGCCCTTTAAGAGCTTCGCAGCAGCCAACGAAATAAGTCCACAAGTGCCGTTTTGATTGTCTGTGACAGAAGCAGGAAGGAGCCTGACCGTTGTTGTTGTTTCCTGGGGAGTTCCTGAAGGCCTCGTAGAACTTGGAGAGGTAAAGAACCATCAGCAGCTTGTCCGGCTCTGCCACTGCAGCCATCTCCTTCCCCCTCGTCACCGGCTGGATGCCGAACTCCCGCTCGGCCAGGTCGAATGCCAACTGATTGTTCCCCGCCACGTCCTCCTCGTTTAGAGAATCGTAGTCACTGAGGAAGAACAAGAGCAAGGGGAGGTTAGTGTGCAAGTTCATAACGTGTCTCGAAACATCCTCCGTGTTCCCAGCGCAGACGGAAATGCTGTATCCGATATTTATGATTTAGTTGTTTTCATCAGTTCATCCAGTAATGGAGAGTTACTCCAATGACATGTAGAATTAAAGAGTCATTTCCTGCCTCGCCGTCTCTATACATCTACTTCCTGATGTGATGGTAACAAGACTAAACACACAAGGCTGCAATGGTCACAACGCACTGGAGAAGACAACGTTAACTTTATAGCTTTAATGTTTTAAAGCGACTATAATCAATATTTTTTTATGACAACGTATCAAAAGGACAAGGTGAAAGGGGTCACTCATGGTGATGACGCTACAGGGAATTATCTGCCGACTCTGCACGATATTACAGCTCTCATAGCGCCGTCAGAAAATGACATCGTCGGGGTTGTGTGGGCTCCACGAGACCTGGGACTTACCTGTGTTGACTTTGGACTCGAGTGCAAAGACTTCTGACACTTAGCATGGCAAAATGTTAATCTTTAGCATGTTAGCATGTATGTACTGTTTGTACTAGTCTAGAAGTAGATCTGAGGGATCACCCAAATGATTAGGATTCGTCCTCTGGGGAGCAAGACTGTCTTTTAAGTGTCGGACTAGCAGATTGATTACCCATGACTAGAACCTGCTTTGTTTGACAGGTAACCTTGGCAACATGGGGGAAAACAAAAAAACACTGACCACGCACACACTATCTTTCCGAGAGAACAGATCATACAGTGGGTGTGGAAGTGTAGAATCGCAGCTACCTGCCTTGACGGAGGATGAAGATGACGTGTTAACAGAGTCCCTCCACAAAGAAGTGAAGTCAGTCCAACCGATCACACAGACACTTTTATTTGCTTTCTCAGTCGAGTGCCAGCAGACCGGATGAAGTAGGTCAGCATTATTGAAAGGAGATTAAATTCACCATGATCGCTCGGATGGAGTGTCAGCAAAATCACAGGAGTCTTAAAAGTGGATCAAACAAACGGAAATCAAAGAAACCAGTCTTTTAATCGTCAATTGACATCTGACCAAGGTCAAAGGGAAAACAGAAAAAGGGTTTTATAATTTGCAGACTACTGCAATGCCTATTAGCCATCAGCCACATCTAGAAGGGATCAGCATACCTCAGCTGCCAAGATATTTATCATCCTTAATTCAATTCAGAGCTAATAACCATGACCTCAAAACACAGGTTGGCTTTAAAAGTGCTTCATACCGACTTTGAACTGGGGTAGACTGTTTTCCGATTAGCTACCGGATAGATCTGCAAAACAGCTTCTTGATCTCAATGAGATTCAAGAAATAAATACAGCTTAACCCTCTGAACCCCGAGCAGTTTTGGGGCGTTTTTTTTTTTTTTTGGGCTCTTATCACAGTTTCCTCTCTGTGACCTTGATTTTCACTGCAATTTAAAAGTCCTGCACCTCTATGAAAACCACACAATCATGGCCGGCGGGTTTTGGGGTTTCAGAGGGTTAACTATACATATTTGTGAGCTGAGAGCTGACTATCTACACCAGGGGTGGGCAAACTTTTTGGCTCGGGGGCCACATTGAGTTTTAAAATTTGACAGAAGGGCTGGGCCAGTAGCAGATGAATGGAGAGTGTTTGTGTGAACTAATATAAATTACAAGTAAAAGCCCTGACCTAAAAAGTAACTTGCATTTAATTTCAGTGGGAACAGTGTTGTTGGTCACCCTTTTTAACCAGTGCGTCAACGTTTGGTGTCAGTTCGGTTGTGGCAATTCTCAGAACAGATCTGAGGTGTTCATCAGTTAGCTGGGATCTTACACGGTATTTTTTTATCGTATTAATGCATATTTTATCGTGCACTTGCTTATTAAGCAGACATTTTTGACAGTGTTTTTAGTGTAAAGGTTAATGACTGTGGTCTTTTTAGCAGTTTGATTCTTTGACCGGATCATACAAATATTTGAATGTCACATCTAACATTATCAGAGTTCTGCACTGTAAAGTCTTTTCTTGTCCACCCCCCCTGTGTCACGGTGTGGGTACATCTCACTGGCATCAGGAAACGTATCAGAATACCCTTATTTTATTGGCTAAACTGCATCACGTGACGTGATTTACAATGCATTGGTCGGTGTTTTTCCTGCACCGCTGAACAAGTGCCGTAAATGCTGGAAAGGAGCGTGAATAACTCCGCTGCATAGAGCAAAGGCCCGCGACCCACTGAAAACGGGTCCGCCAGTTGAGAATCACTGGTCTGCAGGATCGTGACGAGCGGTGAACAGCTGCTTGTGTGGCGTGTCTTCCGTCTCTTCCTGTTTCCTTCACCTACATTCCCCTGGGTCCTAAGCCCCTACCTGTACAGCTTCTTATCACCTCGTTGCACCAATGTACATTTATAACAAATACCACACATATTACGGTAATCAGCGTTGCATGTGTCAAACTCTATCGGTGCATCTCCGGTCTGTCTTTGTTCATCCTGCATCGCTCTGTTCTTTAATGTAACGTAACCGGAGCGACGGAGCCTCTCCCAGCTGTTAGCAGACTGTTGTGCTAGCAAGCAGGCTCGCTCGCGAGCTTTACCCAGCATGCAGCTCGGCGGTGAAATTTTATAAATGTACAATTATTAGTGTTACAAATTGTTTATGTGTCACAGACTGTTGTGTGCTGTGGTGTTTTTCTCTGTTAAAGAGCGTTAGTTGTGGGTTGTTAATTGTTGTGTTATAAAGTTATGACCATGACTAGAGTTCCCTCTCAATACATATAAGAGAACTAGCGCTGACCGGCAAAGAATACATTTAGCTGCCTGTTGAAAGCAGACTGCAGTTGTTTCGGCTATGCACCGGTATAATGGTGTGTGAAGAATTCATATTATATGGGAAATTAAAACCGGTATACTGCCCATCCCTAGTCTTTATTATAGTTTGGACAATTTTGTACCAATATTTGACTGGCCGGATCCGGCCCGCGGGCCGTAGTTTGCCCATGCCTGATCTACACACTACTTCAATAGAAGGATTCATTTGGTCATCGAGCCGCTCAGCTCAAACTGGTCCAGTCTGAACAGGTGACTCTTTCGCAAGCCAACAGAAAAACCGCCAAGACCTGAATAACCATCAACAGTTCCACGTGGTTTCTTTGTGTGTGCGTGTGCGTGTGCTCTCACATGAGCTCGGGCCTCTGGCGGTGGACGAGAGCGCAGAGGGCCAGGCCGTTCCTCCAGGAGGACGTGAGGTTGGTGACGTCCACCCCTCTGTAGCCCTGAGTCTGCTTCTGACACCAGGTCAGCAGCCGGCTGGGACGCACCTCCGACTCTGTGCGAGGAATCGACAAATAAAAGTTTCCCGTCAACCTCGTGCAGGGTGAATTTGCTTCATGACATACGGCTCTGACTCCGTCATGCGGTAAAACTCTGTACGCCAGTGACGTGTGGGTTGAGACTTGAAAGACTTGAATCGCCTCCCAAGCCTAAAGCAGAGTAACCTTGGCAACGAATTCAGACACAAACTGGCGTACTTCTAAAAACATCTGCGGCACTCGCTTTGAACCGCAACAGTGGCAAAAGGGTAGGCAACTACATATTGGCTGTTCATCTAGTGTCTTTTGTGTTTAGAAGAAAACCGGATTAAAAAAATAACCCATCTGATAAATCGCTCATCATTTTCATGGGAACATTTTATCGTGAAAGTTTTCGAGATAGTTTTAGCCCCAATCCGTAGCAGCTGAGGAGCCGGGTAGTTCTATAAGGATGAAGACCAAAACAGAGCTAAAAGGAGAGCAGAATATCTGGTGCTTTCATTCATCACAGAGCCAGATACACAACTCAAAATAAATGCTTACATTGTTTTTGTATGTGTAAGTTAGCCGATGGCCTGCCAAACACCTTTGCCATGACGTCATAAGACACGGTGATTATAAGTCATGTCTGCGTTTATAGCTTGTTCTGCTGCCGCCAGGTGGCCTTAATCTCTTAATGCCGCTTTAACTTGCGACTAAACAAGGAGTCATTCCCCTCGGGGAGACACCTCCAGCAAGTCAGCACATGTCTGTGAGAGGCATCGTGTTTGACCCTCATGTGGATGTAATGCTATCCAGCCGTATTGTGTCTGCGATAAGGCGTGTCAGCCTGTGATTAAGACTGAGATACTGTTTCCTCGGTTGGGAAGGCCTTCGCCATGATGTCAACCTTCTTTTTGGTTCAAATAGCACAGCCTTTGTTAAAGCTACAATCCCATCTGAGTGGTTAAGTCTAAAGATACTTGATGCATCTATAGTCCGTTATTATAGCAGCGTGAACACACATCACACTGTCACTGTGGTCACTTAATACATGCTCAACACTTAAAAGTCCCAGTGAAATGGAAGCTGGAGCGTCTTTAAGCTTCTGCGCTGCAACGTATTTTCCCGGTGAAACGTGACATTTGAGCAGTGTACAATAACAAGGGGGATTTGAATCAAATCCTCCGCATTTCATTGGACCACAAAAAAGTAGGCGAGCTTAGACTGTAGCGCAAACACCTCCTTTGTTGCTAAAAGCGGCAGATTGAGTGATGGACGGATGTCATGACGTTACTGGTTGGTCGGTACCAGCTTACGTAAGCACACGTCATATTTTGCTTTACAGGAAGAAAAGAACGATTTTGACATAAAAATATCAAGAAATTATATAT